TCTAGGGCTGTGAGATCGTGAGGCGCAAAACAGTTGATTGCATGGCTGGCTTTTGGTGACTTGCACTGATGGCACTGTTGCATTTTCACAAATAGGAGTACTAACAGTAATAGTCAGAATCTCTACAATAATGGTCAAATTACAGCATCTCTCGCCTAAACATCTACTTGTTTGAGGCCGTGCTTTTCTCTTTCATCTTCATTCAACCCAACAAGTGCTCTCAAGCGCTGCAAAGCGCAGCGTTTCAATCGATTTGTGCACATGTGGTCCCCAAGGCGGCATGACTTTGATCCGATTCTGAGTGCGGGTACATACAAACACAGGATTTCAAAAAAAACAAATAAGGTGAATCCTCTCTGCCTTCTTGCCAAACAAGAAGTACGCATGCCACTTGAGATTTGGATGTCCGTTTGTTGCATTACCGCTGCCCTTGAAGGTTTCAACATGTCTGAAGAGTGCATGAACACGCACTTGCTCATTGGCATGTGGTTATTTGCCAGAGACATACGTAGTTTGACTGATGCTTGCACGCTGCTTGTTTGGTGACATAGACACAAACAAGCACAGCCATTTTTCAACGCCTCATGCAAGAAACACCACAGCATAAGAGAACTTGTAAAAGGTACATTTGGTGGCGCATGGAGCATGGCATTGCCGCGTCAGAATTGCTGTTGGACCAGGTCGGGACAACCATCCATGTCAAGCACTGCCTTCATGTGCGCAAAGAGTTGTGGTTTTGTGACCAAATTGCTGCAGTCGAAGCTCTGCAGCAGTCATGCTTCCTTGTGTCTGGGGGGTGCCGCCATTCTTGAGTTGGCGCACCGCAATCCGATCTCAGCCCATGCTTCCTATTGCATTGCTGTGACTTTCCCGTGCGTTGCGGTTGCAAAGCTCTCACCACTCCCAGTGGCGCTGTAGCAAAGAAATGCTGTCTGGGCAGCTGGTGATGTCTGTTTGGTTTGCAGGCACGGTCTGCACTGCAAGAGCCGCACTCAAGTCACGCTTGTTGTCATTGCTTCAGTTTGGTTGTTCCCTGTTTCCACCATTGTCACGCCCAGTGGTACGGCAGCATAGATTGGTTTCCTGGCAATGCGTTGCGCTTGAGCAGCCTGCACGCCGCTTGTGCGTCTGCCAGAGGTGGCATGCAGGCGAGAGTGGTGGGAGCATTCCTTCAGGAACGGATCTCAAGTCAAGCTTGCTGGCGCTGCTTTGCTATTGTTCCCCTGCTCGTGCAGCGACTCTGCGTCGTTTCGGCTATTGCTGAACGCAAAGTGTGTGCCCTGGAGCTGTGTGCAAAGCCTGGCAGCCGTGTATTGCGTTATTTCAAATGGAATGAGATGCGCTTGACCAGTCCAGATTTCTCACTAGCGACAAGAAACCGCTCACGCACAAGAAAGTCAAAGTGGCATACAGCTTCACGCCATCAGAGTCACGCACTTGCCCGTGCTGTGGTGGAGCTCTAACACACGGAATACATACATGCATTTCAAGGTTAGCAGCATGATGAAGCCGATCAAACCTTGATTGATCACCTCGGCCAAGCTGCGTAGATGCAGTGCCATGGAGCGAAACCAAGTCAAAATCTGTCTTCCCAGGAAAACGGTTGAGACATTGTTGCCTTGAACATGGTGCTCGCAGAGGTCTGCTCAAACAGCCACCAACATGCAGATTGACAATTGCTCATGCCAGGCAGATGATTCGGGTATGAAAAAACTCGAGAGCCGGACCAGCCAGAAGAGCGTTTGCCTTTTGGCATTCAGGCGGTGCTAACCAATATGAACCAACGAAGGCATTCAAGAAGTTCGGCAGGTCGCCCACATAAATGTAGCGTAAAAACAGCTGATGTCCTGTGGTGCCTGCCACAGAAACTTGGCTCTCATGCGCAGAAGCACATTGGTTTCAGGGCATACAGTCTGCGATCAATCGAGGAACTCCTGACAGTTTGCTGCGGTCAACAGGTACATTCCTGGCTCCTCATGGCAGAGCTTTTGACCAGGGGTAGTGTCAGAGGCACGTAAACATAGCTTGAGAAGAGCTGAAGACAGCCCTTTCTGTGCGACTCCCGACATGCCGTTCATGCACAGCAGCCTTCAATGGCCTTTGCGTGCTTGGTCTTGCTGTCATGTTCAATTCCAATGACAGCTTTCTATTTGCCAGCTTTGCCCCGTGCCGCAGCTTATGGTCTAAGTCCAAGTCTCAGCGCTGCAGCGTGTCTGGCTTCATCGGGCTCCTGCGCTATCCACACGTCAACGCTGCCAATCGCCATGTGCTCCTGCTTCAGCTGCTCGGAGCTCTGCCAGCTCCGCCGACCGAAGGCCCGCCGGCGTCGGCGGAGATGCAGGAGGTTGCTGGGGACCCTGATGTCTTCCTTTGCAGGCCTCGAGCAGAGACCTTGTCGCACTTCTTTCATGTCTTTCTGCGTTGACTGTTCCTGGCATTTTGAAACCTCTACTAAACTCCTTTTGACCTGCTGAAGCCAGAGCAGCCTATGCGGCCCTCCCATGGCCGGGCTTGCACATCGTGAGCTATGACCACGAAGACCATAGAAGTTTCTTGCGTGTGCGCAATGTGGACTGCGTCGGCAGTACTGCTGGCCGCCCAACAGTCGTTCGCTCCGAGATGTTCACTAAGTGACCATTTTGTGCAAGGCTCTGCTGGGAAACTCAAGTCATGAAGCGGTGGGCTTTTGGGAACAAGCGCTTGCGCTTCCTGTGTGTTCGGAGTATGGGGTTGATTCGCGGCAATTCGCGGCCAGCCGGTGGCGGCCGGTGCAGCCTACGCGCAACCCCTGCAGGACGAACTCCTTTGCTTGCTTCTTATGCCAGCATCCACTCAAGCATTGCGTGCACGTGCCCTTGATGTAGTGTCTTTGCCAGCGCACGGGAACGTTGTGGAGTTTGCGAAGGTTGCGAGTAATGAGCACGACGTGCTTGCCGCTGCTCTCCAAAAAGTAGCAGCCTTCGTGGGCCACCTCCAGACATCTAGTCGAAGGATTAATTGCAACATCTCTCAGGAACTATAGTTCAGCAAAGAGAGATCCAGACCCGAACAGAGCTTTCCGGCCAGGTGAGGACGCTGCCTGCAAGGGCCACCTCCACACATAGAGTGCAGGGATGAATTGCAATATCCCTCTCAGGAACTAACGTTCTGCAAACAGAGATCCAGACCCAGCTGAGCTGGGCTGCAAGGTCAGGACGCTGGCCTTGAAAACTGCCAGCCGTGGGCAAAAGGACTCAAAGATAAGGAGGCTCTTCTGTAAATGCTGCTTTGCGAGATTCTTTGAGCATCAGGGATAAGTTGAAGGTATGTGGATGTCAATGTGAAGGCAAGCTCAACATTTCAAGCATGGCTTCTTTCTATATGGTTGTCATCATCGCGTTGAGGTGGCGTAGTCTTTCAGTAAACAGCGCTTCAAGTCCTAGAGCGTATTCACACCTTTGTATTACCCAATCGTGAGGCACGTGAGTCCCTTGAAATGATTATGACTCCTTATTGTACAAGTACTAGATGAATGTTCGTCTTGCTCTGGTCTTGATGTGCGGCTTTTCGAGACCCATGTCAAGATAGGTTGACGTGTTTGAGAGCGCCTGTCCCTCGTAAAGATGCCCTGTACGGAGCCCCATGCCCCAATCTCCGCACCATGTAGGAAGCCAACACTCCAGATCCGAGCGCGACAGCTTAGTTACGTTAACCCTAGCTTACGTGGTAAGATGGCTCATGGGTCTCAACAGTCAACATCTGATCCTGAGCTTTTAGCGTTTCTTGGTACCATTGTTCGCTGTAGAAGGAGACGTCCCGTTTGCAGGCTTGAGCTTTTGGGTGTCCATGTACATGATGCTAAATTTTGGCTCTGGGAAGACCACAGTCTTAGGGTCCGAAGCTGTCGGAGTTTGCATCTCATTGCGCCGCCGGATGCCTCTCGAGTGATCTAGGCACGCAACATTGATTCCGTTGCCACTTCCAAACGCTTGCATGCTTAGTTTTGTTGAAGCTTGTTGTCAGAAGTTGAGGCGGGTTAGTGTGCTTGGCGTGACGTTGATGTAGTTTCGAGAGAAAAAAAGCAGTCTCCTGGACGTGAGTGCGGGGCAGCTTGAGCCAAACGAATTTCTTCCCGCTGGGCAATGCTTGCAGGGCCGCTGTTTTTTACCCCAATGGCGGAACGGGACCTGGCAGAAGCCATCCAGGCATGCGGCATAGGTTTTCTTGAGTTCGCTTCTCTGCATGTTTGTGCTATGCCTGGATGATCAGCAGGAAGAAATCTGTTTGACATTTGCATGCTAGATTGAAGAGAGCTATCGATGACTAGTCTTACTGGCTCTTAGCAAGGAATACGGGAATAAGATCCCTTTATGCCCCCCTAAATACCATTTCCCCTTATTCCCTACTAACCCTAAACCTCTAAACCCTAAACCCCAATAAGTTTTGTGTTCTGTCTTGGGAGATTCTGCCCAACCGTCTCTACTGGGCAGCACTCCATGCCGCCCCTCGTGCCAACCCGAAGGCCCGGTTTTTGCATAGCCTTCAGGGGTGTGGGGTTTAGGGTTTAGGGTTTTAGGGTTTAGGGGTTTAGGATGTAGGGTTTAGGGTTTAGGGTTTAGGATGTAGGGTTTAGGATGTAGGGCTTATGGTTTAGGGTTTAGGGTTCAGGGCTTAGGGTGTATAATAGCTTTATAGGGATTCTATGGGGCTATGTAGGGGTTATCTAGGAGTTTTATTTAGGGGGCTTTTTGCTTCAGCATGTCTTCATAGCGGACTACTAGGGAATAAGGGAATTTAGTCTTTGGGGTTTAGGATTAGTAGGGAGTAAGGGAATGTAAGCTGCAGGGATGGTTTAGGGTTTAAGGTCAGTAGGGGGTAAGGTATTGGTTGAGCAGCTGAGATTTTTGCCACAGCTATGCCTACATAGTTTTTGGTGGAATGATTCATCCTGGAAGGGCTGTTAGGCAAATGCTTTCAAGTTAGAAGTCCAACATATTTTCTGGGTTGTTTTTTTGCTGCAGGTGCACTACTTCAGCATTGATCAAGAGTTCATCTACGAGCCCTTTTTCGCTGACTTTGGTCTCGTCCTCAGGGTAGGACACAGTTTTGAACCCAGAGCAACCGAATGTGCAATGTCATGAGCCGCTGCAGAAATGCTGAAGCCCTAAACCCTATACCCCTAAAACCTAAATCCTAAA